TAGGATATACTCAAGGTTGTACTTTGGCTCTTGTGGACCTGTTCTAATTTCCTTCAGCTTCCACTTGAACTTGCATATGAGCAACCAACGGTCTGTTCCGCAGTCGGCCCCTGGCCTTTTTCTGACTGATGAAATTCCTTCCATGGAGGTAGGAAGGAATTTGACCTGTTTTGTTCACTGGTGTATTCCAGTTTCTCAGAATGGATGAATGAATTGATATTTAGTTTTAAAGGAGCTTATTTGGGTGTGTGAAATTCCAGGGCTGGTAATAAGGCCTTTAGCTGCAGGCTCGTGGAGAGAAACTGCAACTGAGGCATACATGGGCTTGTCTGCACAACCAGCATCTCTGCCTCCAACTTTTCTAGGGAAAAGTAACTTAATCTTTGTGACACTGTAATTAATTTTTAGGTGTTCTGGTCGGTAAATATTTTTAAAGCACTTAGAACAGTGCCTGACACATGGAAAGAGCTATTCAAGTGTTTATTAAATAAATGACAAATACTTTAGCAAGCATTTCGTGATAAATAACGTTGGCAGAGTGTGAACCAAGACAAATAAACCTCAAGAGGTTCCAAGTGGCTTTAATTCTTTTAACGGAGAGTGGCTTTATTAATTATAGAGTCTGATGGCTTACTAGAAAAATAGCAATATTCACATGCCCTCACTGCTCCCCAAAACATGGAAATACCCTAAATTCTTGATAGGATTATAGATACAAAGAAGTCTGTGGATAAACCTTTAAAGAACTGCTTTTGAATGAAGTCCATAAAACACAAGGTTATGATAGGATGACTTCAGAAGTATGGGCTGAGCTGATAGAAGAGGAAAACTGCTTGTACTAAATCCATTCATTCATCAGGTAAACATTTATGTGCCAAGCACTATGTTAGGGGCCAGGTCCAGCCTTCTAGGATCTCACAATCTAGTGGGAGAATTCAGACTTTGTTCTAAGATAGAGGTGCACCCAGAGTCGGTTGAGAGCACAAATCGCATCCTACTCCCATTTGTGATATCAGAATAAAGAAAGCGTTTACTGCCGGTTAAACATGGTGGACAGAGATGACGATCTGTTTGTCTCCACTCCCTCAGGAAACCCCATTGAAATGAAAGTAACAAAATTGAAAAGGCCTGAATCAAGGCCTCTAACCTTGACTGAACATTACAAATAGCTGTGGAGATTTTTAAAATCCTAGTGCCTGAGGTATACCCCAGTCCAGTTAAATCAGAACCTCTGGGGTTGGGACCCAGGCATCAGTATTTTTATACTATAATTTTTGCAAAGAGAACAAGAGGGTTGACAACAGTAGACATAAGAAATCATCAGCATTTTTTAATTTGAAGTGGGGCTGGGCAAGTGAAAGGTACTCAGCAGAGCTGAGAATACTGAAAATTGAACCACCTCTGAGGGAAGGAGGTTTGGAGGATGCCGGCTAGACTCAGCAAGCTCTTTCCTGCTGCAGAACTTTGGAGAGGCTCAGGAATTGAGGGAACTGGGTATGGGTAGAGCGGAGAACAGGAGGAATGGTTAAAAGTCTGTATAAGGGAATTCAGATGACCCAGATCAGATAACTCAGATTTTATCCCATGACTGTACCCACCTCCACACCTGGTTTACCATCCAGAGAGATAGAGAACGATGTACAGCTAAGGGCAAGGATGAAAATGGGGTTGCATGAGAGTCTGTATCTTCAACACCCAGGTGCCCTTCTGATAACATTGCCAGCAGATCTATGCCTCCAAACTGGAGGATGCAGTTCTGGGCAAACTGTCCAGGAGGAAGGTCAAGTCAAATATTGACGTAATAGAGTCCAGGTCCCTTTCTAACACCCTATGATAAGGTCCACCCATCCTCAAGCCTGCCCGTGGACATTTGAGCTTCTTCTCAACTTTTGAAGACCTCACTTGAAATAAGAACACCGAAGGTCACCAGATACTTGAGGAAAGTATCTGAAATGACCAAAACAGGCTGGGAAAAGTAAATAAATAAAAGGAACTCAGAAAAACACATACTGGAGGGAAGAGGAAAAAAAATTTAAGTGGGTGGCTGGATGCATATAATAATATCAGGAAGAATAGGGACTATATTGAGAGGCATTATGCTGTGCACTCTAGCTGGTGGAGCACCCATGCTCAGGAGCCAAATTGTGTGAGATTGAGTCCTAACTGCATCACTTCATAGCTGTGTGATGCTGGGCAAGTTACTTAATCTCTGCGTGCCTAAGTTTCCTCATCTGTAAAAAGGTGGGTGATCATAATGGTGTCCAGAGAACCAGAAAGAACTCTTGGAAATTACAAAGGTGATGACAGAATTTTTTGTTAAATCCAACAGTAAGTTGAAAATTAAAAGTGGAGGAAATCACCCTCCACAAACATCTGCCTCCTTTGCCATGAGACCAGAAGAACTGGATGGTGCCTGGTTACCATTATTGAACATTTTGATCAAAGATTCCATAGAAGAACCCTAATCAAAAGGGGGAAATTCAGAACAGAATTTCAAATTCTCATGAACTGTAGACTTTTCTGGAACCATGGAGGGTGGAAGAACCCCTGAAACTATTGCCCAGAGATAATCTTTAATCCTTAAACCAAAAATATCCCCTGAAGTCATCTTAAATCCGAGGAATAATTTAGCTTAACTAGTCAAAAAGCTCTGCTGTGAGCAGCATTATGCCCTTTTAAGAACTGTCTGTCTGTCTGGGATTGAATTGAGAACAGCAGCCTGAAAGATTAGATAGGAACTTTAGGGGGCAGTGAGTTTATGTTAATGAGGGAGGAACAACGCAGAAAAGGAGGGTGAGAATGGTTGCACAACTCAAAGAATGTAATCAATGTCACTAAATTGTACATGTAGAAACTGTTGAATTGGTGTATGTTTTGCTGTATATTCTCAGTAACAACAAAATAAATAAAATTCAGAAAAAATAAAAAATGACAACCCAATAAAAAAATGAACAAAGGACTTGAGTAGGTATTTCTCCAAAGAAGATATGCAAATGGATAATAAGCATATGAAAAGATGCTCAAGATTATTAGTCATTAGGGAAATGCAAATCAAAACCACAGTTAGATACCACCTCACCCATACTAGGATGGCTATTATCAGAAAAAAAACAAAAACTAGCAAGTGTTGGTGAGGGTGTGGAGAAGTTGGAACCCTCTTTCATTGCTGGTGGGATTGTGAAATGGTGCAGCCACTTTGGAAAACAATTGGCAGTTGCTCAAAAAGTTAAACATAGAATTACCATATGATAGTAATTCCACTCCTAGGTATGTAAACCAAGAGTCTTGAAAGCAGGGACTCAACCAAATAGGGTACACCAATGTTCATTACAGCATTATTCACAATAGTCAAAACATAAAAACACCCAAGTGTTCATCAACAAATGAATGGATAAACAAAATGTGATATATCCATACAATGGAATATTATTCAACCATTAAGAGGAGTGAAGTTCTAATACATGGATGAACCTTGAAAACATCATGCCAAGTGAAATAAGTGAGACACAGAAGGACAAATATTGTAGGATCCCACTTATATGAAATATCTAGAATAGGTAAAGTCATAAAGACAAAAAAGTATTAGTGGTTACTAGGGGCTGGGGGGAAAGGAACCCTGGTGGTGCAATGATTAAGCACTTGGCCGTTAGCCAAAAGGTTAGTGGTTCAAACCTACCAGCCTCCCTGCAGGAGAAAAGACCTGATGATCTGCTCCTGTAAAGATTACAGCCGAGGAGACCCTGTGGGGTATTTCTACTCTGTCCTATAGGGTGGCTTTGAGTCAGCATCAACTCGACGGCACACAACAACAACTGGGGCAGGGGGAGGGGAAAATGGGGAGTTATTGCTAAAGGGTTTCTGTTTGAGGTGATATAAAACTTTTGGAAATAAATAGTGGTGATGGTAGCACAACATGATGAATGTAGTTAATGTTACTGAATTGTACACTTGAAAATGGTTAAAACAGCAAACTTTTTGTTATCTATATTTTACTATAATAAAAAAATTGCCCCTGGGGGAAAAAAAAAGTTGAGGAAATTGCTAAGAAAGATCAAAGAGATGGAGAAATGGAAATAGAAACAGTAAGAGAAAGAGATGTTAAATTTGAGAGGTCAACAGAGTTGCGGAGAGAAAGAGACCAGGGAAAAAAGTAGGGTAGAAACCATCGGAGTAATGACCCAAAACTTCCCCAGAAATGAAGGCCCTCCAAGCTCAGATGGAAAGGGCCTGTATGGTGCCTGTAGGATGGTTGGAAAAGGCCCAGTCTAGGGCATGTCACCATGACATTTCCAAACACTGCAGATAGAATGAGATCCCAAATGCTCCCGGGGTTGAGAAGGTCTCAGAATTTGAATGGCAAAGGAGATAATCTAGATCTAAGTACTGTGGAATTTTCTGGAAATACCACACTGGTTCCAGGATGTAAAAATTGTTTGATGAGTCGGAATCGACTCAACGGCAACTGGTTCAATTTTTGTTTGGCCATTTCATAAAATAGCCCCTGGGTGTGAGGCAGGGTGAAGGCTCACTGTTTGCTCAGTGAATCTAAAAATCTCAAGAGTCTCTTTGTCCAGGGGCGTCTATTTTATCTTTAAACTAAGGGGAAAGGCAGAGACACTTTAAACTCAAGTGAAAGAGTAGTGCATTCACCTTTGTCTCCACCTCCTCCAGTTCCCTCTTTGTTTCTTCTCCTCGTCCCCCTTAACTGCTCTTCCGAGTCTTCACACTTTTGCTGTGTCTATTTCTGTCTCCTTCTCCTTTTCTCTTTCTATCCACAGAAGTCTTGTGTTTGTCTAATAATTGGCAGGAGAGATCTCTTTTTTTTTCTTTTTAAGTGATGAATAGTTGGCGTTAGATCAAAGACGAGCCCTGTGGTTTTCTGGCTGCCCCAGAAGGGCAGTACAGCTGGCAGCCCTCCCAGCTGCCTGGTGATAGGCATGTGGAAGAGATACCAAGCTCACAGGTCACCGTGTGTGTGTTCATGTCCGTGTGTTTTTCAGGCCAGCAGCAAACTGAAGCAGATTGAGAAGGAATATACTCAGAAGCTTGCCAAATCTTCACAGGTAAGCAACGTTAAAAAAAAAAAGAAACCCACACGTAAAAGCTTTCACATTTTAAACTTAATTCATTTCTGTTTTCATGGATTAGTATCATATTTTTGATGGCTATATAAATAAATAAAATATGCTTTTAATATTTCAGTCTTATTTTAAAAAATCAAGAAAAATTAGGCATATTGAACCATTTGAACCAACGCACACTCGCGCACGCGCGCGCGCACACACACACACAAACACACTCACTTGGATCTTGTAAAACCAGCCTGTGCACTTGAACAAGCCCGGGCTGAAACATATTTCACAAGGGCAGGAGATCCACACTTATATCTGTGATATAAACAGTTTGATACCATCTATGCTTTTTTGCAATGTTCCATTTTGCTGCACCGCAAGGCTACTTATCAACAAAATTCAAAATGACAATTCTGGGTGAAATCAGCAGCTCAACTGTGTTGACTCCTTTTGGAAAAAAAAAATGATAAGTCCTTTCATGCCTGTTTTGCCGTGTGTGGTTACTGTAGTGGTTTTGATGTGAGAAAGGCCAACGATTAAATGCTTGTCTCTGCTTGAAATCTGATGCTTAGAGTCCTCGTTCTGCAGAAGTAGTTCTGATGGTATCCTGTAATGCCACTAAGGGAATCCCAAGCATCCCTTAGTTGTATGAGTAATTCTAGAATAAACAAATATTACTTAGCTTCATTTTTCAGATGGAGAAATGATGCCATTTAATTTTGTGGGCATCATGTCTCGTAATTGTTTTTTCAAATCAGCTTTTCTTAATATTTTTACATGTATACAGTGATATGTGGTAGTAAATTGGAATTGATGTGATATTTTATGAGTTACCTTATAAAAGTAGTAACAACAATGCAACAACAAAACAAAAATAATATTAGCATTTATAGAGCACTTACAGTACTGTCTCATTCAGCCTTCATTCACAAGAACTCTGAGGTTAGCAACTATTACTGGCCCCATTTTTCCAGTTGAGAAAACAGACTCCAAGCGGTGAGGTCACACAAGTTAAGTTAGTAAGTGACTAAGCCAGGACCCAACCTGGATCTGATTTCAAAATGGAAGCTCTTAACCTTTACACCAGCCTGGCCCAATCTCTTACATTTCTAATATGGCAGAAGTTGCTAGTTGCCGTGAAATTTCTTAGATTCTACGATTATTTCTAAAGTGTGCATATGTTATATAATACAGTACATTAGGAAAGCAATCAATCTTTGTCTAAATGAAGAGTCATACACGTCCAGTTAAAAGGTGATGAATATGCCTTCGTTGCCATTAGTCCATCCCTTCCTCGAGGAAGGATCATGGGGAAATATCTTTTTTAGTCCGTTGAGAAGAAAGAGTCTTATAGCAAAAAGAAATCTTATTACTCCAGAAGTTGAACTTGCTACTGACTTGCCCTTTACACCCTGTGTATTTTGCTTTTTGTTCAATGAGGGAGGCAGACCGAGAGTGAGATACAAGATAGCGAATAAAAATGCTTAATTAACCAGAGTGTAAACGGAAGTATTTAAGTTGATCTGAAGGAATGTATGAAGCCTGATTAGTCGATATTAAAGCAAATTAAACATTCGTTAGTGTGGAAGAAAGCCTAAGCTTTAGTCTGACAGGCATGAATTTGAATACCAGGCCTACCACTTACATGACCATGAGCTAGTTACCTGCACTTTCTGGAATCCAATTCCCTCATTTGTAAAATGGAGGAAGAATACTTACCTCATAAGGTTGTTTTAAGTACTAAATAAAACAAGCTGAAAAGTGCTTAGTACAGTGCCTAGTACATAATAAAGCATTTAATAGTTAGCTATTATAATAGCAGTATCAAAAGTGTACTAGAGAAAGGAAAGGAGGAAAGGAAGAATGAAAAAAGGTCTGGAAGGAGGGAGGAATTATTTATTCAGACATTCTGTATTTTCCCATAAATATTTCCTTTAGGTCCTCAACAGTCATATGAGTTCAATTCCCACTGCCGCTGAGTCTGCTCCATAGGGTTTTCAAGACTATAATCTCAATGGAGATAAGATTGAAGTTGTCAAGGATTTCATTTTACTTGGATCCACAATCAACGCCTATGGAAGCAGCAGTCAAGAAATCAAATGACGTATCGCATTAGGCAAATCTGCTGCAAAAGACCTTTTTAAAGTGTTAAGAAGCAAAGACATTACTTTGAGGACTAAGGTGTACCTGACCCAAGCCATGGTATTTTCCTTTGCCTCATATGCACGTGAAAGCTGGACAATGAATAAGGAAGACCGAAGAAGAATTGATACCTTTGAATTATGGTGTTGGCAAAGAATATTGATAATGTTATGGACTGCCAGAAGAATGGACAAATCTGTCTTGGAAGAAGTGCAGCCAGAATGCTCTTTAGAAACAAGGATGTTGAGACTTTGTCTCATGTACTTTGGACATGTTATCAGGAGGGCCCAGTCCCTGGAGAAAGATATCATGGTTGATAAAGTAGAGGGTCGGTGAAAAAGAGGAAGACCCTCAACAAGATGTATTGACATGGTGGCTACAACAGTGGGCTCAAACATAGCAACAATTGTGAGGATTGTGCAGGACCAGGCAGTGTTTCAAGGGGTCATTATGAGTCAAAACCAACTCAGTGGCACCTAACAACAACGGCAATCTTTTGGAAGCAGACTGCCATATCTCTCCTGCGGAGCAGCTGGTGGATTTGAACTCCTGACCTTTTGGTTAACAGCCGAGCACTTAACCATGGAAGTTTAGTGCTTAACCACTGCACCACCAGGGCTCCTTATCATATGAGTAGTATTTTTATTTCCATCTCATACGTGAGGAAACTGAGGCTTATGGAGGGTAATGTCCCCCCAAATCAGAAAGCTGATGTATTGTAGAGCAAGACTCAAACTCATGCCTTCCACCCCAAGCCCATGTATCTATGTAAATCTCTAGCAAAAGTTATTCTTCCATTTTGATCTTTCATCTCATTTTGAAAGTGACTCACTGAGTGGTTCCCAGACTTTGGGTGTTCAAGAATTGATAAAATCTCCCTCCAAAATCTAGAAGGGCATAGGATTGCTTACTATTTTGCCAAATAAAAACATAAAGAAGCAGAAGGAGGAGAAGTAGGAGGAAGAGGAGGGAAGAACAACTAGCAGCATCTCTCATAGACTGTCACCATCAGTTCCTAAATGAGACTGCAACACCAAAAAAAAAAACAAATCCTCGAAAGGGCCCAATAACGTGATGCAGGATAGGCCGTCCTTTTCTTAAAAGGTGGGATGATAATCTTTTCACTGATAATATTTTGTTTGCCCCCCCTCGTATATAAATAATATATTATTGTATTTATATATAAAATTATACTGTGATATAGATACATTTTTATAAATACAGCTTTATATTTATAATATGTAAATTATACATAATATGTTTACATACAAAGTGAATCAATATATCTGTACTGGCATATACATACATGTATATAAAGACTGCCATTTGAGAAATACTGGCCTACAATGCCCATCAGTTCAGAGAAGCATTTGATTATTTTAAAATGAACATTAGAAAACAGAACTGTGGATTGACTTTTTCCATTTTCAAGGGATAGTTTGCTGGAATCTCTAACTCATATCTAAGCTGATGAGAATGCCAGAAGCAAAGTTGCTTAACTATGTTTATCAAATTTTAAAAATCCTGCTCTCAAAAAAAATTAATAAGTAAGTAAAAAAAATGTAATAAAATGAATGGATTGGTAATGAATACATTGGTACCTAGGAGATCATCAGGTTAAGATGGAAAAATGCTTTAAATGTTTTCCTCCATTAAAGGAAGTTACTTAATCTTTTAAGATTTTATCAAGCTTTTAGTACCAGATGGTCTGTATACAGTAAACCCTTGACATACCTAAGGACTGTGTCCCCTTCTAGGATCCTCATCATTCACTGTGATGGAAATGTTTGCATCAACTCTATCATGTTTCCAAACATTTCCATCAGAATCACATATTTGTTCTTTGTATCTTAATATCACACATTAACCTTCCCTTTTAAATTTTAATGTGATTTTCCTCACTCAAATGACTCACCTCTTGGCCATTTTTCAAAGGAAGACATTGCCATTGCAAGAATGTATGAAGGTGGAAATGTGAAAACTAAAGGTGGGTTGCCCCCGGACCCCGCCTGCTGTCTGACGTCTCCACTGCCCTATATGAACTTCCACACACCTTATGCAAATTCATGCCTGGGCCTATTCTGACATGCCCCACATGCCCCCAACTTTCATGTCACTCTCTAGGGTGACAACCTAGAATGCAAGGGTGTCAAGGACCCACTCTTCCACTTATTTTATGAGGGACTTCAAAGTTCACCTAACCTTCTTTAGTGTGGTTCGTCTTCCCTATTGTATTTGAAGGAAGAGCTTTATAAAAATCTCAAACTGTGCTGTAATCTGAAAATCAACAGAATGAGTTAAAGATGAAATCTTAACTCTCTTTAGAATACTGTTATTTTTAAGACTTTAACTAAGATCACTGACATTTATGCAAAGTGTTAATTGCTTAACAATAATTATAAACTATTATAGTTTTCATGACTTTGGTTGCTAACAGCGTCAGCCCCAAATAACTCTCCTTTTGCTTCTCAATGTGTTACTTTTTAATAGTGATATGGAAATGATATTCTAATAGCTTCTTTCTCTGAAGCTAATACAGGATGAACTGTTAGCTGAGTGGTGGGATTTTGTTTTTTGTTTTTAATCTTTTATTCAAAACGAGAGTTTTGATTATGATTGTATAGATTAGTTTTCGTTATCCTCAGTAACTTTTTACATTATTACTCTATAACCAGACTAGATTATCTCAGTATAATTTGCCAAGTGATTATGTTTTCCTATTTACCATGATCATTATATTTTTACTACTTAAATACTTATTGAGTGTCAATTATAAACACTGAGCAAAGGAGAAAATGTCCATTGTTGTATACTCTGTGTCTACAACCAATAGAGTTTTGTTCCTTACCTAAAGCATATCAATTTGGTTATTATGATTATTTCTCAGTCTTAAAGTAAGTCTTAAGTTCTCTTTTTAAAAATATTTTTTGGCTACACCATTATATCCATCAGTCTACACCCAAGCAGTCTATTTGTTTAGCCAAGGTGTTTCACCTGAAGTGGTTTGACATTCTGTCTCTTATATCACCCCCATAAAATTTTTAATAACTTTCCAGAGATACTCCCCCAAGGGAATCTCATTATTCCTGCACCCCCACCCCCACCAAGAATGTAAAGTTTCATTTTGCACAGAAAAGCAAGCATGCCCTCCTCAGAACATCCTGGACTTTGCTAGCAGCCCCTTCCAAAACCTGCGTTTCTTTCTCTTTGTTGTAGTCTTGTCATAAATCTTCTGAAATGCAGGGTCTCCATGTTTCGTGCCCTTGTGGTCATTTGAAGTATCCCGATATGCTTTTATCTTCAGTCTTTGGTCAGTTAAAAGCTAATTTAAGTCTTAGTTTTTTTTTTAAAGAAGCAGAATTACTTTGTGCTTTAAAAATATATGACTGTGGTGGTGGAGATATGAATCTACACATGTGGTAAAATTGTGTAGAACTAAGCACACACACATACACGTTATAGAATTAAACCCACCACTTCCACAAAGTTGTAGTTTACTCAACTTGAAACATTGAAATAACATAGTTATTTTTGCTGTTTGACCCCATGTTCTTATAAAATATCAATCTTAAATTTCATGTTGAGCCAAGGACATTTGTCTCTTTCTTATCTCTGACTTCTCCTGCTCTGTGACACTGAGTGAGTTGATTATCCTCACTTTTTCACATCTACTGTAAGAATTTAACCTTCCCTGTGTCACTGCGGTGCTGTAACAATTGAATTGATGCCAAAATGGAAAAAACCTTTAATCAAAATTCAGAATATAGATGAAAATGTCTTCATTTTCAGTCAAAGAACCCCTTCAACTTATAGCAGAAAGTTCAATTTTGCATTTGCTAATGTTAATATAGTACTATTATGTATTTTGTCACTTATTTCACAATTATTTTCTTATTTGATTATGAATTCTAAAAATTTAACTTTGTTACAATGAGTTTGCACACTTCTAAAAGTATAAATACTCCACACTGGCACAACAGTTGAGTGCTGGACTGCTGATGAAAAGGTTGGCGGTTCAAACCCACCCGGTGGCTTTGCAGGAGAAAGACATGGTGATCTGCTTCCATAAAGATTACAACCAAGAAAACCCTATGGGGCAGTTCTGCTCTGTCATATGGGATCTCAGTGAATCTAAATTAACTCGACAGCACCTAACAACAAAATTTATGTCAGTAGTAACAACTAAAATTTCTATAGGACTTGGCTTCTGGGAGGGGCTCCAGATAGTTCCTGTTATTGCTTTATAATGCTATTTTGTCATCAAATAGTAGTTGAGAAAATTGCACTTCAATTCAGTTTCAGTTCAGATAAATTACTTGTCCAGTGTTTCTCTCTAACTAGCCTCCCTGCCATAGAACCAACAGAATTATATTCTAACCCAGCACTATTTCTTGCTTTTAAAAAGTCACCATCCATTAACTAGATGGTAGACAAGGATCGACTTCAGTGAAGGGAAGGACAATACACAATACAAGGGAAGTCAACACAACTGGACCAAAGCAAAAGCTAAGAAGTTTCCTGGACACATCCAAACACTTTGAGGGACAGAGTAGCTAGGGCTGGGGCCTGGGGACCATAGTTTCAGAAGACATCTAGGTGAATGGGCATAACAAAGCTTATTAAGAAAATGTTCTGCATTCTACTTCGGTGAGTGGCATCTGGGGTCTTAAAAGCTTGCAAGTGGCCGCCTAAGATGCATCAATTGGTCCTATCCCACTTGGAGTAAAGGAGAATGAAGAAAACCAAAGACACAAGGAAAATATTAGCCCAGGAGACTAAAGGACCACATAAACCAGAGACTCCAGCAGCCTGAGACCAGAAGAATTAGATGGTGCCCGGCTACCAATGACCATCCTGACAGGGAACACAACAGAGAGTCCTGGACAGAACGGGAGAAAAGTGTGGAGGAGAAACTCAAATTCACGTAAAAAGACCAGACTTAATAGTCTGATAGAGACTGGAGGAACCCCCGAAACTATGGCCCCTGGACACTCTGTTAACCCAGAACTGAAACCATTTCTGAAGCCTACTCTTCAAAGATTAGACAGGACTATAAGACAAAAAATAATACATGTGAGGACTGTGCTTCTTAGTTCAATCAGATACACAGACCAAATGGGCAGCTCCTGTCCAGAGGCAGGATGAGAAGGCAAGAAGGGACAGGAACTGGTTGAATGGACACCAGGAACCTGGGATAGAAAGGGGGAGTGTGCTGTCACATTGTGAGGATTGCAACTAATGTCACAAAACAATGAATGTATATATTTTTGTATGAAAAATTAACTTGAGCTGTAAACTTTGACCTAAAGCATAATAAAAAAAATTAATAAATAAAAAGTCATCACCATTGACTTTGAAAGGAGATGGATGCATCCAAACCCAAGGAAGAGCAGTGCTTTCAGCCACCCAGGCTCCTTCCATTAAATGTAAAAGGTTCCTCATCATATGGTTACTTCGAGAACTTGAGAGAACCAAGTCATGAATCCCATTCTCTAATGTAGAACTAGAGTCTCTGAAATGACACTACTTGAACCAAAATAAACTTTAACGAAGTATATGAGTTAGGAAGAAAATCTTTTTGGAATTACATCGTAATAAACTTTTCTCCAGTACCAAAGCCTTGTTTAAAAGAAACACAAAGTTGGCTGGTTAGAGGAACCGATTAGTGCAGCTATTGATCTGGCTGCATGGTTCAAATCCTGCCTGTCTCCTTCGTTGTATATCATTTTCAGCCATTTAAACTATTGGACCTCTTCCTATGCCTCTGTTTCCTCATTTATGAAAGATGGTCAGTCATAATGCTTGTCTCACAGGAGTAAATAACACGAGAACTTCAAGAGCTTAGCACAATATGCAGAAATGAGTAAACACTCAAAAAGTATTGGGTAGAATTAGGTGGCTGTGAAGACTAAACTCTGTTTCGTTATTTTCTTTCATTATTTTCTTTGGTTATGACAGTTCAAAGTATCATGAAAGGAAAAACAACTTTTCTCATTCTAATAAGTATATTTTTCAGCAAAATAAAATCTGACGCTTTTCATATTTTTGAGATCACAGATGTTCTTTCTTCTGATGAGTAAATAGTGTGGAATGTTATAGTGGAAATGTCTTCCAAATATATTTGGTTCAGCAGTTGCTCACCATTCACAGTTTTATTATAGTCTTTTATTGTGTGGAATTTCATGCTTGATGGTGTGTGATATGTTAATTGAAAATACTTAGTTTGCGGAGTAGATTTTTGCCAAAGCCATCCCTTTGTCAGGCATAAATACATATAAAATAGATGCCTCTCACTGAAGAATTTGAAGTCATAGCATGCTGTTTTCATTTTAGATCATAGCTGAACTTCAGACAACCATTTCCTCTCTGAAAGAGGAGAACAGCCGGCAGCAGCTTGCTGCAGAAAGGCGGCTCCAGGATGTTATACAAAAGTTTGAAGATGAGAAGAAGCAGCTGATTAGAGATAATGACCGAGCAATCAAGGTAATCCGAAGACTTCAGTAACCAGTGGTACCAGCTGCTTTAATGTAATTAAAAGGAGGCCTGAAATCCCAGCAGTGGGCAGATGAATGCAGGTATCTGGCTTGCTCACACAGCCTGCAGTCATTCCATTCACTGGATGCTGCCTTTGATGTAGCCAGTGACTCAGGCCCACTTCCCTCTAAGCCATCCTATGCCAACACATAAACTCATTTTTGGCAAGCCCGGTCCATTCACATTGAACAAATATTTGAAAATGCCCTGTGCTGTCTCTTGAGTGCCGGTTTGAGAATTCACTCATTTTGGAATTGTCTCTTGAAATTACAATGCCTGTTTTCACCCAGAACTGCTGGCTAATAAATTCAGAAGTCACCTTTCAACTTACATGCTCTTCTTTGGCCACATCCTTTCACTATGTCTTTGCATAATGAGAAATAACTTGTTTGAGGTTTGGAATGCCAACCATTTGAGGTGCTTTGACATAGTACAGGTTGGTTGCTGCTGAGAACCTATGTTGTTTCCAAGCAACTTCAAAGACTCACACCTTTCATAGCAACAGAAGACTCCCTGGGCCCTGATTCCTTAGGTGGTAGGCAGTTAGATCTCAAAGAAGTTTCTTCTTGGCCTCATCGTAGTGAATATTATTGTTCAATGTCTACATCATGCTGTGTTTAATCTGTGAGGATAAGCATCTGGAAACCTTTATAAATAAGGTTTAAAAGAGAACAAAAACTTTTTTTAAACAATTCCCAGCAAAAGATTATTTTTTAGTGGTTTACTTTGCTGTAACAATACTTAAAGCATAGAGAGTAATCATCCAAAGTAAAGAAAAATAACAGAAACATTTGGGTTTGATCGCTGCCCTTTTCTACCTAACCCCTCCATCTTTTTTTCTATAGTCTAGTTTAGACAGTCTGAGTAATTGGGGGACAAGTTCTTTTTAATATACGTTGTTTTCTGTTATATGTACTCGTTAAACCTGGACAGCATCGACTAGAATAAAAAATCCTTAGAGGTGGACAGAACCTTAGAGGTGGACAGAACCTTAGAGGTCATTACATTCAGCCTCCTCACTTTAAATGTGAGGACTTATTTTTTTGTTAATGACATTTTCCGTATTGATTTCCCTCTGTGAACTTTTTCCCCCTATACGTGTTATGAGACAGAAAAAGGTATTTCTTGTTTCTTTTTCATATTCTGATAGTCTTTTTAGCCTTTTAAGCCTTTTTTGTTTATACGTGCACAGAAAATGTTCATTGATCTGTATGACTGTTTTGCTTTGCTTGAACTGAGTTGCATACTTAGTTTAAATTGTTTTAGTAATACAAAAAGCTTATTTTAAATGAATTTCTTTTTCAGTTGATGTCCAAATACCAAGCGGCGATAATTTCCAGATTTTAAATAAATAATTGAATCCCAATATAACCAAAAGGGGGGACATGAATTAAGTTACTCCATGATAACAATATAGTTGTAGTATCATTTCCTAGAGTATAAAAAAAATCTTAGAGTTAAAAGAATTATAATTAGTATGTTGTTGTTTGTTGCCATCGAGTCTGTTGACTCATGGTGACCCCACTTGTGCAGAGTAGAACTGCCCCATAGGGTTTCCAAGGCTCTGATGTTTCAGAAGCAGATCGCCAGGCCTGTCTTCCAAGGCACTTCCGGCTGGGTTCAAACCATCAACCTTTTAGCTAGTAGTATATTGCTTAACCATTTGTGCCACCTAGCGACTTCTGTAATCAGTATATTTAATTATTTGTGTTTTTGCAGTTTTAATCCATTTGCCTGTTAGTAGGGAAAAACATTCAAATGTTATTTTCAACAAAGTGCCAAATCATAAAGACCAAATTTAAAAGATGGCGGTTTATATATATCTGCTGTATTTATGACCTCTAAAACATATGTATACTGTAGATACCTAAAAATAATGAATTAAAAATGCAATGGAGATAGGTAGGACATAGTTCAGTTTTGATCACTCAAATTACGTGTAAAGTGAATGACATTTATTTTTATTAACTTACTTTAGAGTTGCTAAGATAATTGGTTCATTAGCATTCATAATGAATGAAAATAGTAAGACTAATAATTCTAATAATTGATGTTTATTCAGCATGTACCAGGCTCACATCTCCTGTTCCATTATCTTGTTTAAGCCTAACAGTAATCTTTATGAGGAAGGTATTTCTATCACCCCCATTGTACAAATAGGAAAACTGAAGCTCTGAGGTCAGATAACCAGCCCAAGGTCATAGTGCTAAACAGTTGTCAGAGCCAGGTTCAAGTTACAGTCTGTCTGACCTGAGAGCCTCAGCTATTAACTATTACACCATACTTGAGTCTCTTACGTTCTGATTATGAAAGAGAAGCAGTGACCAAGGGTGTAAATGAACCTGGATATCCTCAGTCTAATTTTCTCTCTGCTTGGACCCTGGATGATGCAGTATTTTTACAACAGGTCTTTGGTTTAGACATTCTAATTATATTTGATTATTTTATACATATAGATACTCAGAGACAGGCATAGTCACCATGAGGCTTCATTTTCTGAAATCAAATACGTTCATCTGTGGGCATATTAAATAAGGCTGCCCAAACAGCGTGCATGCCAGTTGTTCAACATACTTTACCCTACTTCTTGGGTTGGTGATGGGCTGAGCTCTCAAGAATGGAGACGGTGATCAAGAATAGAGATGGAGAGCAAGTACTCACTCTGCCAGAGCTTACAATATTTCCATAGATAAATAACACCTTTCATCAAAGTAATTCTTTAGAGAAAACTTAAGGTATAAAGTATTAAAGTCTATTTAAAGGGCCACCAGTCTGGAGCAGTATAACTTGATAAAACGTATCTGGAGGAAAAGTTGCAATACCTATCATTATTAAATTGCCTAGTGTTTGACCCATTTCCAGAATTTATCCTAAGGTGGTAATTAAAGAGTTGCATTAAGATTTAGCTAGCCAAAAGGATGCTCATTATAACATTCATTCATTTACTGAGTAAATATTTATTGAGCTCCTATTATGTGCCATGCATCCCCAGCCCCAGCATTCTCTATCTCCTTTCTGTGCTTTATTTTTCACCATAGCTCATAAACTGACAGCTATGCAGCATTGAAAATGATGTTGGAGAAGAATATTTAAGGATATTGAAAATGTTCACAAGATATCTTTAAACAGAGTAGAACTGCCCCATATGGTTTCCAACGAATGGCACTGGTGGATTTGAACTGCCGGCCTTTTGGTTAGCAGCCACCACTGCACCACCAAGGCTCCAATGAAAATGCAAATTCCAAATTTTATGTAATATAAGCATAATTTCTCAAATAAAGCATATAAAATAAAAAAGACTGAAATTGTATATAAAATTATACCAGTGGTTCATGGGATTTTTGGTGATTTTTTTTTTTTTTCATTTTAACTCTAAATTATCTATGTCACTTTTACTGTAAGAAACAATGAGAGTTGCTTGTCTGAAAAGGAAGAGCTCCCAGCCTGAAGGAATTCAGTGGGCATTAAGGGAAAAGTTGTAGCTGATCTAGCAGCAGGCATGATCCTCGCTAAGAAACAGCAGAAAAAGCAAGGTCTTCCACAGAATAGAATTCCTTTAGTGTAAAAAGAGTTATGGAGACAAAGTAATTCATGAAAACAGATCGTTTATGCTTCAGTGTAACATGTATTTAAAAATCCAGAGCAAAACTCTTCTTTATCACTTGCTTACTGCTTTAACTCATTCCTGCATTTAAAATCATGCTTCTAAAAAGAGTTATCTGCATAACAAACCACCCCAAAACTTAGTAGCTTAAAGCAACAACTATGTTATATGCTCATTAGTCTTAGAATCAAGAATTTAGGCAAGGATCAGCTGGCTCAGTGTTCTTCTGCTCAATGTGGCGTTGACTGGCCTCTTCATGGGCCCATTCAGCAGAAAGCTTGGCAGGAACTGGAATATTCAAGATTGTTCCAGGCCCCCTCCATACAGCCTCTCTCCCCAACAGAACAGTCAGACCTTTTACATGGCAGCCGGCATCTAAGAGGGAACATTGGAAGGGATGAAGGCAGAAGCTGTCCTCTTAAGGACCAGCCTAGGAAGTTTCACAGTGTCATTTCCACCGCATTCTATTGGTCAAAACAGGTCACAGGGCCAAGGGGAGGGAAAATAGATTCCACCACTCAACGGGATTTTGAGGCCATCTTAAATCCACCACAGTACTCTATACTGAAGGTCCACTTTTAATTTCCCATTCATTCCTCAACTGTACAAAATAGTACAAAGAAGAAAATATCTATATCCCTATCACCCAGAATCCAGAATCAGCTTTCTTAATTAATATAGTGGTACGTTTGCATCAGTCTTTAAAAAAAAAAAAGAGAATCCACTGTGTTGTTTTTGTAAAAAAGAATATCACATATGCTTATTTTAAAAATAATTCAAAATGCAGGAAAAAAGCAAAGGTAAAATTTTTAAAATCCCTCTAAATCCCATCACTCAGAAATAAAACCAGAAAACCAAACCCATTGTCACCAAGTTGATTCCTACTCATAGCAACCCAATAGGACAGAGTAGAACTGCCCTCTAGGGTTTCCAAGGCTGTAAATCTTTACAGACGCAAACTACCACATCTTTCTCCCCTGGAGCAGCTGGTGGGTTCAAACCACCGACCTTTCAGTTAGCAGCCAAGCACATCACCCCTGTGCCCAGGGCTCCTCAAGTTTAGATTAACCAGGATAAATTCAGTAATTAACAAGGGTGTGTCTAGGTGATAGCCATTCAATATCAAATTTTTCTGAAGCACAGTGATTCTCTTCTCTCTGTAACCAAAACTGCTTTGTGGTTATCTGTCCACGTTCTCTAGCCTGAGGGAAGGGGAAGGAAAAACTGGAGTAGACACATGCATGCAGTCTTGTTAGTCTGACTGTTAGGTCTCTGAGATTTTGTTAAATGCTTTTCAGGGTTCACACTATCTCAGTGGTAGTGTCTTCTTTCCCCTTGGGTTTTG